CCTAAACCCTAAATCCTAAACCTTACTTAGACCTCTAAACCCCTAAACCTTAACCCCTAGACCTCTTTTTCATATGTACTTACATCGTGAAAGCTGCCAGTTGTGTCAGGCTAGAGCCCTGAACCCTAAGCCCCTCCTAAACCCTAAGCCCTAAACCTTAGAATCCTACACCCTCAACCCCCTAAACCCCTTAAAGCCCTAAAACCCCAAACCCTAAGCCAGGTTCTGGTCGCTACGATTCATAAACTAGATAAAGGTAGGACCTTACTAGTAGCCCCATTATAGACTTGCTGTAAGGGTGCAGTACCTAAACCCTAAACCCTAAACCCCTAAACCCCTAAACCCTAAACCCTAAACCCCTAAACCCTAAACCCTAAACCCTAAACCCCTAAACCCTAAACCCCTAAACCCTAAACCCTAAACCCTAAACCGAGTACCTCAGGTTCTGGTCGCAAGCCGTTGGGTCGCTGACCTCCACTCAGGAGCCCGAAGGCGGCACAGTGAGCTTGGAGGAGCTCAGGGAGACGGCGGGGTTTGGGGGTCTTTGGGGTTCCTTTTGAAGGAACACTTAGAGGGATCTATAATAAGGTTTAGGGGTTTTGGGGTTTAGGGGTTTAGGATTTGGGGGTTTTGGGGGTTGGGGGGTTAAGGGTTTTTGGGGTTTAGGGGTTTAGGATTTGGGGGTTTTGGGGTTTAGGGGTTTAGGATTGTTTGGGGTTTTAGGGTTTGGGGGTTTAGGGCGGTTTAGGGGTTTAGGGTTTAGGATTCTTTGAGGGTTTAGGGGTTTGGAGGTTTGGGGGTTCAGGCTTTAGGGGTTTAGGATTTGGGGGTTTTGGGGTTTAGGGGTTTAGGATTGTTTGGGGGCTCAGGGTTTGGGGGTTTGGGGGATTAGGGTTTATGAGTAGGGGATTTAAGGGGTTTGTATTGCGGTTTATGGATAAGGGTTTTGGGACTTCGACCGCTTTGTTTGAGAGCCTTTACTGAGAGGCTTTCAAAACAAGGAAAGACCACCAGGAGATCCCTGAAACCCTAAACCCCATTATAGATCCCCTTAAGGAACCCTTAAAGATCCCTTAGAAGGAACCCCTTTAAGGAACCCTATAGCCCTACTTAAGGCTCCAAAAAAAGGGAAGACCACAACTTAGAGGTTCATGGGACTTAGTAATTAGTAACTACGGTTACGGTTATAATTAAGGTAACTATACTTATACTAGTTATAACCCCAATTAAGGTACCTATAACAGTAGTTACTAAGTCCCATGAACCTCCAAGAAGGAGATGACCTACTTGCTTCTCTCCTGGTTGCAAGACACCGCTCTCTGGGAGCATCGAGATGAGAGATCCGAAGCCTCACAGGCCGTGTAGGGTTTACGGTTTTGGGGCTTTAGGTGTTTAGGGTTTAGGGAGTTTAGGGTTTGGGGCTTCAGGTGCTAAGGGTTTAGGGAGTTTAGGGTGTGGGGCTTTAGGTGTTGAGGGCTTAGGGAGTTTAGGGGTTTAGGGCTTTAGGTGTTTAGGGTTTAGGGAGTTTAGGGTTTTAGGGCTTTAGGTGTTTAGGGTTTAGGGAGTTTAGGGTTTGGGTGTTTAGGGGTTTAGGGTTGAGGGTTGAGGGCCAAAGTTCCAAGCCGTATGCGGGCTTACACTCAACAAAAACTTCCGGGCTCGAATTTGAAGCCATCCCTAAAAGAACGCTGAAACCTTGTCAAACGGTGTTAATCCAAGATCAACAAAAAGATATTAAAACCTTACAAGCCCCGAACCTCAACACTACTACACCTCCATGAATCCTGCTAAAGTCTTAGAATGCCCCCGATAATTCCATAGCACGACCACCCTGGTGTCGTTCTCCCTAAGAGGCCAAAGAGGCAGCGCCAAAGGGCCTTCCAGCCGCCTGGATACCTCTTCAGTTTATGGTTTCAGGGTCCGGAGTAGTTTAGACCCTAAATAAACCCTAAACCCGAAACCCCTAAACCCCTGAACCCTAAACCCTAAACACTAACCCCTATACCCTATAAACCCTAAGCGGCTAAACCCTAAACCTTGAGCCGTCAGGAGGTTCAGGGTTTGGGTGCAGTCGGCTCAGGGTTTAGGGTTGAGGGTTTAAGAGGATATGGGTGGTTGTCAAAATTAGGGTCCCTTTTTGGGTACCCTAAATAATAGGTGCCGTATTATAGTAAGGACCCAAAAAGGGACCATAATTTTGATAACCACCCATATGGGGCTTGTGGCTTTGCGCGTTAAGGAGTGAGGTGTCTGGTCTGAGAAATTGAGGTGTCGGTAGGCCGAGGCTGTCTGAGGCTCGGGCATTTTTCAAACTCGGACGCTGTGTTGTGCTTCCTTGGTGCTGTGGAGATTCCGCAGCTTCGAATATTCGCGAGCTTTCGACGGGCGCGTGACGGAAGATCCTGTAAACGCCCTTTAGATTCTATGCCCAACCGTTTCGAGCAAAATTGCTCTTGCTGCTCCCTCTGCAGCACACACAAAGCCTGGACTGTAACAGCCTCCGAACTCTGGGCCTTGAGGGTAGGGTTTTGGGCATCTAAGGGCTTTCAAGCACAGCGCGGTGAAGAACTCCCTCTAGTCCGAATCTCTCGCCCTGTGTCTGGACATCTCCTCATTCCCATGGAACCCCTGAGCTCCCTCAGAACCCAGTTTCTTCGACTGTGACCCCTGAGCCGTCGCCCTAAACCCTAAACCCTAAACCCATCGCCATCGAAACATGACATCCTGAGTCGCCAAATCCTGAGCACAGCATAGATTTCCTTCCAAGGCTGCGAGGCATCTTTTGAGGCTTCTAAGGCTTATGGAGTTTGGGATTTTCTTGGTGGGCTATTCGATTCTTGGGTTCCTTGTAATGCGGGTGTGGGGGTTTAGGGTTGAGGCTTGGAGCAAAGGTCTTCCTCCATGTCTACGACGTCTCGCAGGAGGAGGGCATACAGAAGATCAACCGTGTGCTGGCGCACAAGCACTCCCCACTAAAGTTTGGGGGAGTCTTCCATGCCGGCGTCGAAGTGATCCGGCCGCAGATCCAGCGCCCTAATACCCAAGGTAGGGGGTTTAGGGTTTAGGGCGGTGAAACAAAACTCATAAGGAACCCTAAACCCTAAACTGCCGAGAGCGCCGCTGACCATTTGCATGGGCGCTCGAGGCTCCGACCGAGGTTTTTGAGCGAGCGTCCCGTCAGAACGGTGAGGGAGGGTAAAGCCTCCCGGTATAAGGACTGTAGTGACGCCGCCACGCGAATGACTTCCTTGAACCCTGCCCTGCCGTGCCCTCCCTACCCTGCCCTACTGTGCCCTCCCTGCCCTGCCCTGCCTGCCCGCTGCCCTGCCCTGCCACCTGCTCTCTGCTCTGGTCTGGCCATCTTGCCCTGCCTTGTTCACACTTCCACCAGCCCTTACAGGGCACGGTTTGTTGGAAACCCTTGCCTTTCGTCGAGCGGCCGCGAGAACCTACAACCCGACAGCAATCCATTTCTGTGATTTCTGGAGAAATACCGTTGTTTACATGTCGAGCTGCGAAAGGAAGCAGAGAGCAAGAAAGCCACCCTCGAGGGGGGTTTGGGGGTGAACCCTAGACCCTAAATGAGAATAGTTGGGGTGGTTGGGGCGGGACTACATGCTGACGCAAGCGCGCGATTAGCGGGTGCGCCCCTTATTCCTCAAGTAAACGGCGCACCCACCGCGCGCATACTGTTGCACACCCTAAACCCTGAACCCTAAACCTCTAAACCCTAAACCCTAAACCCCTAAACCCTAAACCCTAAACCCCTAAACCCTATAGAGCCCTTAAAGGAGCCCTGAGTCGCTGAAGACTGAGGTGAACGGCCTCGAATGGTGTTTTGGCTACTCTGGTAGCGAGACTCACCCGGGTGTGGCCTGCGTTGAGCCGAGGCTCCTTGGAGTTCTCAATTTTTGTTTTTTTGTGTTTAGGGGGTTTAGAGGTTTTGAGGTTTAGGGTTTAGAGGTTTAGGGTTTAGGGTTTAGGGCTTTAGGTTTAGGGTTTAGGGCTTAAGGCTTAGGGCTTGTTTTTTTCGCTTGTGGTAAAGGGTTAATGTAGGGTATCGAACTGTTTTCGGGTATTTTGACCAAAACCTTCGTCAAAGCATGAAACCATGAAGCAGCGTAGTATACCCCAAGACTGGTTATGTTGGCCGTCTGCTACCTGTTGTCCAAGAAGCTTCTTCGCTTCGAGAGCACACGCGAGTGTTCGGTAGGGGTGCAAAGGTTTGGGTTTACGGTGGCAGAGGTTGTTTTAGCAGCACTTTGCACCAATTTAATCGGATCCCGAATGTCCCGAATACCTTAAACTTAACACCCAAAACCTCCAAACCCGAAAACCCCAAACCCCAAAGCTTTGGCCAAAGCTTCTTCGAAGTCCTGGCCTCCCTGGCCTTTCCTTAGGGAATCGCGCTCTTGAGCTTAGACGAGTCTGCGGAAAGTTTAGGGTTAGTGTTTAGGTTGATTTTGAGGGATTTTCTTAGTTCTTACTCGATCCTTGGTTTGATGGTTTCGTGTTTAGGGTTTACCATCTATGGTTTGTCTCGGGGTAGGATCAGCTTAAATTTTCGGTGTTGGAGTAGCCTGCAACCCGCTCAAGACCGAGGGGGCATCCGCAGCATCACTACCGTCACTTGGCTCTTCCTGGGCAAACCTTATGAACGACACAATCTACTCTTGATTTATATTACACAAATATCTAAATCGGTGTGAAATAAGTTAGACTTTCTTGCTGTGTGCTTTGGTCTTGGACGGGTTCCTGTATCTAGGCATCTTTGTTACAGGTCGAGAAGATGCATAACTTAAGTGGGTATCCGAGGTCAGACGGTGGCGATGGGCTACACTCGCCTCAGCGGCGAAGAGGTCGCAGACATCGTCACACAGCTCCTGGAGGAATATCCCGGCCAGGACGAGCAGTGAAACCCTAAACTCCTACAGCCTATACAAGCAGCTCATTCTGGAGTGCATGGTTAGAGTTCGGGACTTGCGTTTGAAGCTGAAGCCATGAATCCAACACCCGCGCCTACCTTCAGCACAGGGGCCTCAATAACAAGTATCGTCAGTCTATCTTTTGCAGCTGTTTGTTCGCAGGATTCCCGTTGAAATCATTCAGGTGCATACAGCAGAAAGCAAACAATGCAGCAATGCGTGTCATGAAGAGAAGACATTGAAAGAGTTCCACCCGGATACCTGAATCCCAAACCCCGGTATGCCTTTGTCTTAAGCCCTTGAGGGCGACTAAGTGTCCCCGCCTCAAGCTCCATAAAGCAGTAGGTGGGATTCCCCCCAAACTTTAGGATTTTCGGGTTTCCCTCTTCCTCAGCCCCCTTTGAAGGCTTTTCGTCTTACTCATAGTCTTCAATACTTGAACGTAGGCTTTATGGTGACCACGACAGCCCTAAACCATAGAACCCAACCCCTAAACACCAGAACACTCCTCAGGACTACGACCTTCTGCGTCGGAACTGCTGCCACTTCGCAGACGACTTCGCGCGGCGCCTGGGTGTCGGCGGTATCCCTGGCTGGGTGATGCGCCTTGCCAAGGTCGGCGCAGGCGGGTCAGAAGTTCAAAAAACCTTCAGGTGGCAACTTAGGCTTTGTGGTTGGTGTGATTTGCGAGTTTTTCCGAAATGGGGATCCTAACATAGTACCCTAAATAGTAGGATCCTTATTATAAAGATCCCAAAAGAAGGTACCCCGAATATTCGGAAACTCCCATTTCCGGGGGGTGGGACCTGTAAGCTAGAGGACCGACAATCATTGGTCCTTCGTTGGGTCTAGTGTTTGGGATGCAGAACCCGAGCTAATGTGGGGGCCTTGATGGGGTTTATTTTATATAGTTCTAAATTCGAGTTAAAATAAACCCCAAACCCTATTCTAATTATTAAGACCTCTATATTAGCGTGGGCGCAGGGGTGGAAGCCATGATAGCGTCGGCGCCCAAGCCCATCCGGCAGCGCTTCGGATTTCTGACAGGTGAGGAAGATTCGGATTGAGATGAATCCGAACTCGAGCCGTGGGTTCGGGGCCCCCAAACCGGGCTTCGGTTACCTAAAGCCTCGAAGTTCCAACTGCTATTCCCAGCACGGTATAGACTTTAGGGTTTAGGGCCCAACCTTCAGAGGTTTCAACCCTAAACCCTTCAACCCTAAACCCTAAACCCTCAACCCTTAAACTCTCAACCCTAAACCCTCAACCCTTAAACTCTCAACCCTAAGGCCCTAAACCCATAAACTCTCAACCCTAAGGCCCTAAACCCTTAAACTCAACCCTAAGGCCCAAGATCCTGAATTCAGCCCCGTTGGAATATGGCTTCAGGGTAGGATACCCTATAATTTGCCATAAAGGCTTAAAAGGTTTAGGATGATCATATTCCAACTTTCTGGAGTTCCCCTTAAGGCCCAAGATCCCGAATTCAGCCCCACGCACCCTCCTTGCACGGAGGGAGTTGCGGGGGCTGGGCGTTTCACGAGCGATGCGCGAACAGATCACCGGGCGCCTGCGGGGAAAAAGTGGGAGCATCCCAAGGACTTGAGATTTACCCTAAACCCTGCTTAGGGTTTTGGGGTTTAGGGTTTATAAACCCTAGACCCCTAAACCCTAAACCCTAAATTCGCCTGAGATTGTAAGGTTTCGGATCTCTTGAAATTCCCGATGCCTTGAATCCTGAAGCTTTCAGAAGCCTTCCGCTTCTTTTTGGGGGTTTGGGGCTTAGGGTTTTGGGGATTTAAAGTAAAAGCCAAAAAGTTGGAATATGGTTATCCTAAACCCTTTATGGTAAATTATAGGGTATCCTACCCTGAAACCATATTCCAACTTTCTGGAGTTCTCTTTAGGGTGTGAAGTTAGCTTCAGTGCCTGGGCTGTTTGGTGTTGACATACCTAACCCTGAAAAACATTCCTTTCTAGGGTTCCTTATTATGATTTCTTTCGGTAGGTTATCCGGGGTTAAGGTAGGGATTGCTATATTATCGGCCTATAGTGCCTCTTGAAATGTATAAGACAAATCCCTAGACCAAGACCTGGTTTTTACTCGTCAGAGGGCTGCTCTGTCAAAGGCTTATATACTTCTTGCATTAATTTCAGTCTGTCGTATCCGCAAGGTTTGGATGGCATTTTTGCTGAAGGGGCCATGCTGTACCTAAACTCTAAAGTTGCAAACCCGAACCTCTGAATTTGTAAAGAGTGTGTGTGCGAAGCCACGGGAGTTTGGGCCCGATTTTTTGGGGCTCCTCAATTAAGAAACAGAAACGGATCCCTAAATCCAGAAACCCGGAGCCCTGAATCGTAAAGTTGAGGCCCCAAACACATGATGCCGGAAGCTCTTCAATATAGAGGCTGGTCTACTGAGTTCTGCCATTCCCCTTGTAGTCCTTACCATAATCATACTAGAATCAACCACAGTCATTTTTGCATCAGAATATTACCAGACTATACCACCATACTTCAACATCTGTTCTACTTCTTGAGCCCTAAACCCTAAATCCTAAGCCCTACTTAGAGGCCCAGGGGACTTAGTTAGTAGGTTGCAAGTAGGGGTATAATTGGGGTGACTCCAAGAAAGCTACTTATACCACTATTCATAGCCTACTTACCAGGTCCTCTAAACCTCTAAGTACACCCTAAACCCCCTAAACCCTAAACCCTAAACTTTACCTGATGGGATCAGGCCCGGCTGGTGGAGCCGCTTGGGCTGCGCATGGCCCACGGCCCACTACCGGTGCGCCACCTGGGGGAAGTCTTGAAGTTAGCACTTGAGGGTTGAGGGTTGAGGGTTCAAGGGTTGAGCATTTAGGGTTCAGGGTTTGGGGTTCAGGGTTAGGGTTTAGGGTTCCGTTTTCAGGGTTCTTGCGGTAAGGCAAGGTAGGATACATAATGCAAGTGGCCGGTTTCAGGTCTTTAGGGTTCAGGGTTTGAGGTCTCTGGTTGAGGGTCGGGGATCTCAGGACTTTCAGATTCCGGGGTGCATTAGAGACTTGTCGGAATGTTCTCGGAGGCCTCAAAAGGTGGGATGAAGGTAGGTGGGATATTCCCGAATAAGAGTCCTTATATAAGGGATCCTTAATCCTACCTACCTTCATCCCACCTTTTGAGGCCTCCGATGTTCTGGGTAAAGAATGGGGTCTGCAAGAAGGCGACTCGAAAGCTGAAGCTGGACCAGCTTCAGGAAGGGTTCTGAGGGTTTAGGGTTTTAGGCTTTTGGAGGTTTAGGGTTTAGGGTTTTCAGGAAGTGTTCTGAGGGTTTAGGGTTTTAGGGTTTTGGGCTTTAGGCTTTTCGGTTTCCGGTTTCGGGTCATGCGCTTCTTCTACAGCCCGTAGGTGTTTGTTGCAAAACACGCCCTCCATGCACACTTGCTCCATCCACCCCCACCCCCAACTGGATCCCGAAACCCTAAACCGTAAACCCCAGACACTCAACCTCCAACCCCGACCTCGAACCCATACTGTTGATGATATTAATCCTGCATTACCTTAAGGACCCTAAACTATGGGGATAATGGTATATTCCTTACTGTGGGTGATGCAGGATTATATATCATCAACCGTATCCCTGAGCCCCAAAAGGCAGCTCACAATCCGAAACCCAAATCTCTGAGCCCTGAAAGACGCCCAAACTGCAAAGTGAATTTCTTCGGAATCCCGCAGCCTGGAGCCGCGGTTGCCCTAAGAACCATCGTGGGCAGGAGGTTCCATCCCGTTCCCAAGATCCTATGGCTTCAGACGTGTCGTGATGCGCAGGCGCCGCTGACACGACTGCTGCTCCTTTCCGCGGAGGTGTGGATCTGTTGGCTGAGGATCCCTAAACCCTAAACCCTAAAACCCTGAACCCTAAACCCTAAAGCGTGGTTTGGATGTGCACAGTTAGGGCCCTTCTCGGGGGCCCTAAACCCTTAAACCATAAAGCCTAAGCCGGGGCTTCTTCTTTAGAGTCTGCGATGGGGTTTCTTTTGGCTTCGGCCAGTGCCATCTTGCCAGATCCAGAAACTATGAAAAAGCAGAGGAGGCAGTGGGTCTCTACTATTGATGGTAAGAACCCTGCATTACCCATAATGCGGAATATGCCATAATTCCCATATATTGCTAATTATGGGTAATGCAGGATTTATATCATCAACCGTGTGAAAAAGCAGAGGAGGCGGTAGGTCCTAGGATTGGGGGTTAGGGTTTGGGGTCTAGGAATCATCATAGAAACCGCATGCAGACAATACCCCAAGTCCCGCAACCTCAAGCCCTAAACCCCAAACACCTAAACGCAGGAGGCACAGGGGCGACAACAAAAACCCTAAACCGCAAAACCCCTAAACCCTACCCCCCCCAAAACTCCTAAACCCCTGAACCCCGAAACGCAAAACCCTTAAACCCCAAAAGCCTAAACCCCCAAACCCTATTATAGATTTCCGTAAGTAACCCTTATCGATCCCTTTAAACGGAAGCCCTTAAAAGGAACCCCAAAAGCCACGAACACGATACCCGAAGCTCTGAAGCCCAAGGTCCCCCGGTCCGAACCCGTGAACTCCGAAGGATCGAACCTCAAAGCCGAAACTTGAGCTGTTGAGGGCTTAAGGTTTAGGGCTTAGGGCTTAGGGTTTAGGGTTTAGGGTTTAGGGGGTTTAACCTTCTAAAGCCAGTGAAAAAAAACATGCAGAACAAATTTTAAACCCTGTGCAACTCCCGACAAAACCTCATGCAGACAAACCCTCCTTGGGGCAGGAGCCGCACTCGTGTGCTGCAGAGGCGATTGGCTCGTACTGAGGGCATTTTCGGGGCTCACAATGTGGTTCCAGAAGTGGTGTTTCGGCTCAGTCCTAAGGGGGTTTAGGTAGAGTGTTTTGGGATTCGGCTGCTTCGGGTGCCAGGGCAGGCAAGGTTTAGGGTTTTGGGGGATCCAAAAACGGGACCCAAGTATATAGGACTACCGAAATGAACGATCGCATCGCTGCTGAGCAATTAATGAGCTGGTATTATCGGTAGCTGTGCGAATCCTCCCTGACTCGTGGTTGTAATAAGGACATTTACATGAGACTTGATGTGGGCAGTAGCATGTTCGGTGGCGATGATGACAGTCGCGGTGCTCATGTTGTTTGTCGTGATGGTTGTGGCAGTGGTGGTGGTGGTGCTGCCGCTGCTGATGACGGTGATGACGAAACTGAGGCGGATGCCTTTGCCTGCAGTTTCAGAAAACCGCATTTCTTAGCAATATCGACGTCGGAATAGTTCGTCATGTCAAACCCTTGTAGTCCCTAGTAAAAGGAACCACCATTCTGATCATTGAGCTCCGTACATGATCGATCTTATCCGAGGCCGCGGCTGTCTGTGCCATGCTCTCCCTGCAAGCGCCTTGGCTTCCCTCACAGAACAAGGACGGTTTCAAGCTTAGGGTAGGGGTTTAGGCTTTCAGGGTTTCGGGTTTCGGGGTTTGGGGTTTAGATTCAGGGTTTAGGGTTAAGGGGTTAGGCTTACAGGGCTTAAGGGGTTTGCCCTCAACACCAAAACTCAGTATGGATCCTGAACAACAGGGGCTTCATTTGAAAGAGGTCGGGGTCTCCACAACCGTTTACCCTCCAGAGCACCAAGCGCCAAACTCGACACCCAGAGGGCGAAGCCCAAGACCAACTGAGCCGGGACCCGTGAACCCTAAACCCGAAACCCTGAACCCTAAACCCGTAGACCCTAAACCCCACACAGCCCTAAAGCCTTAACTCCTAACCTTAAGAAACCAGGCAGTTCCGAGCACTGGAGGTTGGAAAATCGGTTCCCACTTTCAAATTCCTGAAAAAAGCCTTTAGCATCACATGGCCACTATAAAAACCACAGCTGGAACGGGCTTGGTGGAGACCGGTGGGCAAGCCGTGGAGTGGCAGCCACTATAAACACTGGCCTTCGGTAACGGGGTTGGCAACTATAAAAACCATAGCTGGCACGGGCTTGGTGGAGGAGGTAAGCACAAGAGGGTTGGTCACCACCGCCTCATGGATTACGTGTACAAGTGAGTGTG